ATATCCCCAATAAGAAACACCGGGTCCCTAACAATGCAAAAGATTAAGGAATATTCCTTATCATTCATGTAACTGACAAATTAAATGTGGTTATGGGATATTGAGCTAGATTTGTATTAATTTTCACTTCTTGGCAGGTTTCCTTTGTGATACGAGACGCGGAAGAAAAACAGCATAGGAATGGCGTTAATGCTCTGCAACTGGATAGCAACAATGGCAAACTATATTCGGCTGGGCGAGATGCGATAATACGTGTCTGGAATACACGCACCGAAGCCAACGAGAAATATATTCAATCAATGGAGCATCACAACGATTGGGTCAACGATATTGTGCTCTGCTGTAATGGCAGAAATTGTAAGAATGCAACTCTCAAGGCGAACGTTAACTAATGAATTATCTTTATTTTGCAGTAATCAGTGCCAGCTGTGATACAACTGTTAAGGTGTGGAATGCACATAAAGGCTTTTGTATGTCCACCTTGCGTACGCACCGAGATTATGTGCAGGCATTAGCCTATGCCAAGGATCGGGAGCAGGTGGCCAGTGCTGGTTTGGATAAGGCCATATTTTTATGGGATGTGAATACATTAACTGCTTTAACTGCCAGCAACAATACCGTTACAACCTCTAGTCTAACAGGCTCGAAGGACTCCATCTACAGCCTGGCCATGAATCCCTCCGGTACGGTCATTGTCAGCGGCTCCACAGAGAACATATTAAGAATCTGGGATCCGCGAACCTGCATGCGTAGCATGAAGCTACGCGGTCATACAGAGAACGTGCGCTGCTTGGTTGTATCGCCCGATGGAAACCAAGTGGTCTCTGGTAGCTCTGATGGCACCATCAAAGTGTGGAACTTGGGCCAACAGCGTTGCATACAGACGATTCATGTGCATAAGGAAGGCGTCTGGTCGCTGCTAATGAGCGAGAATTTCCAATATATTATCTCGGGCAGCAGGGATCGAAATATCATTGTGACGGAAATGCGTAATCCCAGCAATAAGATGCTCGTGTGCGAGGAGAAGGCGCCCGTGCTCAGTCTTGGATATAATATAGATAAAACTGGCGTGTGGGCCACCACCTGGAATTCCGATATACGCTGCTGGAAGCTGCCCATGTATGATCGTTGTGTGCTCAGCTCTGGCGGCATGGATGCCCAGTGGACGCTAGGTGGCACGGAATTGGCTTGCATTAAGGGCGGAGCTGCTATCAAGGAGTGCACTGTACTAAATGACAAGCGCTATATCATAACAAAAGACTCACAGGATCAGGTTGTGGTCTATGATGTATTGCGTGTTACCAAAAAAGAGGAGCTGGGTGTGGTTGACTACGAGGAGGAGGTAAAGAAGCGGAACAAACAAGTCTACATTCCAAATTGGTTTACGGTTGACCTTAAAACTGGCGTACGTAGAACTATATTAGTGTGATGCGTAAATTGACTAATTACATTATAATTTTTACTTACACAGATGCCTACGATAGTTTTAGGTCAGGAGGAGGTGGACTGCTTTGCTGCCTGGGTATCCATTGAGGCAGGATTGCCTGAATGTGATGATCCAACAACTGAGATCAAGGTATTATGGCAATACATTATAATTGTATTCTCTATGTATATATATGTAAAAATGAATATTTTCACAGATAAATTATGGAAAATTACTTTTGGAAGCCTTGCTCGAGTACTGGACACCTCCCCATAGTATGCCGCCCAATGAAATGGAGCCCGACGTACGAGGCAATGGTTATTTTCAAGTGCCCAAACACACTCCTGTCATATTTAGGTAAGCGAACACGAAATACCTAAACTAATTAGTTAATTTATAACAATGTATTGCTCTTGCAGTGAGGTTGGCGGCCGCACAGTGTGTCGCCTGCTGGTGCGAGATGCAGCCGGCGATAGTGAGAGCACGCTGCTGCATGAAACGGCGCCGCAATGGGTGACTGATGTTGTGATCGAAAGGAATATACCCAAGTTCCTTAAAATACCCTTCTTCCTGCAGCCACATCCACAAATGACCAAACCAGAGCGTACCAAAAAGGTTAGAAAATTAACTCTCTAAGATGAAAAGTTTTTTTTTTACATTTATTTAATAAACTTTCTATTTCTATATTTGATGAATAGGATCGTCTGGTGGCCAATGAGTTTATACAGTGCCGCAAGGTGTGCGAGCATGTGCTTGAAAAGGTGCTCAATGCGGAAACAACGCCCAGCGCTGGCAATGCAAATAATTCTTTACAAAATAGTCAAAGCGATGCCAATTCTGAAGGATCACAGCTGCCAGCAGAGGAACGCATTGAGCTGTGGTGCAACGATGTGGTAAGTAGCAGCGCGGAAGATTAATGGGCATATGCTCACGTCTATTCTCTATTTTGTTCTTTGCATATAGATCGTTGATCCGAATATGGATTTGCGTACTGTGCGTCATTTTATATGGAAGCAATCGACTGATTTAACATTTCAATATAAAACCAAGCAGAACTTTAACTTCGATGGTAAATAATGCATATTTGCAGTAAAACACACATAGCACACACTCAACTCACACACATACAAAAACACACACACACAAAAGCAGAGAGTATTTTTAATTTGTAACCTAATTATAGTTAAGACTTATATGTATATTCGTTCAATCCTAGGTTCAATCGGTGATAGCCTGGAGCGTGTGACTCGCAAGTATTGAGCTACAAATTTCAGCTACCAGAGTTATTGTGCTTTAACTAAAGGCGTTGCTTTCCACAGACGCGTGTGATTTCTAACTTTCTAATCTGTTTGTTATTAAATGGGCCAAATTTGTCAAGTACGCCTGTTTTTAATATTATGTGAATTGGATGAACAACAAAGTTTCAATTTGAGTTGAATTCACTGAAACCATTTGAAACGAATTCAAAGAAGTATATATTTATATATACACATATATATAGATCTTATATCGTACACCTTTATATCTTACTATACCATTTGCATAAACAACACACATATGTATATATATGTGTGTTTCATAAAACCAGTTAGAGATCAATGCATATTATGTATATGTTGTATATGTCTTGCGCGACATTATTTAGTTGTTTACTTATTAAAATTACATAATATTTTAACTTTAAGTATTCTGTTATATGATAAATTAAAGAAAACAAAAACAAAAACAAAACAATGCAATTGTAGGAAAAAAAAACAAAAAACATTAAAGCATATATGCAAGCCAACTTGTACATAAGTAAATCGAAGAAAAAATACAGAAAAATCGATTCAAAATATCACATTAAATTATTTGGAAAACAAGCTTGGCTTTTACTACTTAAGATTGAGTCTTAACATAAATATATCCATATACATTTATGCGAGGAATCCTTTATAGCAATTCTCCTTCAGCGTACGCATTGGAAAATGGATGAGCACTCGGCTGTACAGTACAGTACGTATAGGCGAGAAAGAAAAATATGTGGGTATTGTAGTTATTTACATACGCTTCCTGATTCGGCTTTAGTGTTAATATTAAATTCCGAGGGTACAGATCACTTGCACAATATAAATACTTCCATTAGTTCTTCATGAGGTGGTATGTTAAACGCCTTAAACTTTCTTCAAATCGTACAAGTGTTTGAGTAGCAAAGAGGACCGGAGTATCTATAAAACACCCTGTCCTGATGGCAATGATTGAATATGACTGAAATATCTTGTATCTTGTAGTTGTATTCTGTATGAATAATTTCACTGATAAATTCTGGAAAGCTGTTTTTGGAAGTCTTGCTAGAGTATTGGACGCCTAAGTGACGCTGGCGACCGCACAGTGTCGCCTGCTGGTGCGAGACCTAAGTTCCTTAAAATACCACAAATTATCAAACCAGAGCGTAGTAAAAAGGCCACAAACATCACTCTAAGATGAATTAAAAAAAAAAAAAATTTAATTAGATCTTATATCATACACCTTTATAACAAACATACCATTTGCATAAACTACAAGCAAACACCATCTATGTATGTATATATACAAAAGGGTTTCATAAAATCGGTAAGATATTGAATCATATTATGTACATATAAGCCTTTCGCGACATTATTTAGTTTTGAAAGTAGATACAGATCAAACTCTTTCAAAGTACTTTGAAATACGATAAATTAAAGAAAAAAGATAAACTATTAAAAAGATAACTATTAAAAAAAAATCTTATTTATTTATTTGAAAAGCCAGTTTGGCTTTTGTTATCCACAGCACTACTTAATATTGAGTCTTAATATAGTTGTATCCGTATATATGCGAGGAATCCTTTATCTTCGACTCATCATACGCAGTCTTCTCTGATGCGCCTGTCTGTAATAGGTATTGATAGTCCGTAGCAAGAGTAGCAACTGTTGCTTTAGTGTCGCGGGTATTAAATAGTTATTAATGAGAAGCTCTGGTGTATTGCATGTACGCTTTAGCCATCGTACAATTAGCCATAAGCAATTCTCCTTCAGAGTACGCATTGGAAAGTGGATGAGCACCTGGCTGCGTACATCACATAGTTCATCCGGCTGTTGGGGATTCCTTGGCACTCGTATGCGTATAGGATAAAATAAACGCTTCGATCGCACATGCATACGTTCGCCAGTGTAATAGTCACAGAAGAACCATATGTGTGTATTATACGTATTTACAGGCACGCCCTGATTCGGCTTTAGCGTTAGTTGTATGTTCTGGGTGTTCGGATCGCTTGCCCAATATAAATCGAGGGTTCGATTTGTTGTGTTCACAAAAAGCACGTATACCTCGACTTCTTCCTGCGGCGGTACATTAAATAGTTCACCCCATTCCCCATTGTTCCGTGCTACTTGCAGTGCCATCTTGAACAAATTTAATCATATGTTTTGACGTTGATAAAAAAAATTTCAATTTCTTTAAAGCGTACAAGTGTTTTTATATATCTTCTTCCAAAATTACCATTCACAATGTAACATTTCGTTCATATCGTTAGATTTTAACAAGTTGGCAGCTCCGACTGTTTGTTGACAAACTGCACGTAGACTGCTAGCAGTGCGCATACAACACACGTTACTAATAGTCGGTGATATAAGCAGTTCCATTTTAAATAGACATTCCATTATACATGCGTATATGAAAAAAAAGTGCAAGCTTACATTAGTTTTCATTTTCCTTTCAATTTACACAATTCGTAAACATGTCTTCGTTTATCTTCTTACCTAAATGCCATTCAAACAGAACGGTTTGTATTTCACACAGAGCGTCGACACCTGATTACTAACAGCTGTTCGTGTAAAGTACATAAAATATAAACAAATTCTTCACAATGGCATTTTGTATTGCTGTAATTGGCAAAGACGTAAGTTGTACTTAATAACAACTAAATAAACAAATAAATATTAAACATAATACATTTAGAATGCTCCGCTGTACTTGGCCACATCGGATGTGGAGCGTGAGCTGGATCTTCAATATCATGTTCATGCGGCACTCGACGTTGTAGAGGAGAAATGTGTAATTGGCAAAGGAGCTCCCGAGTCCAAGGAACTCTATTTGGGTCAACTCTTTTCAACAGAGAACCATAAGATGTAATAGCTGCTGGGTACACAGAACTTTATTTCATTAATGATCTACCATTTTTATTGTTTTAGTTATGGCTTTGTCACCAACTCCAAAATCAAGTTTATTGTCGTCATTGACTCCAGCAACATTGCACTGAGAGAGAACGAGGTGCGCGCGGTATGTGCAATGGATTTGTTTTAGCAAGTATAGTTGATCTTAATTATTTGTAATTATTTGCTTGTCTTGCAGATATTTCGAAATTTGCACATGCTTTACACGGATGCTGTGTGCAATCCTTTTTACATTCCGGGCGAGCAATTGACTTTTAAGTATGCATTAAATTAAAATGATAAATATGTACATATATATGTAATCAATATATTTTCTTTTACAGAAAATTTGACCGAGCAGTGCAGAAACTAATGAGTGGCAATGTATAATGCTGTAAAAGAAAAGAGGGTCGGATATGAGGAAAGCAATGAATAGGATAAGAGAGAAGAGGGAAGGAAGTTTACTTCCGAGCACTGGTTAAGAGAAACGTTTCTTGGAGTAGAAAAAAAAGCGTGTCAGAGGAGAGGAGCTACTGCAAGGGACTGATTAGCAGTGGAGTGAAGTCAGCAACACAAAAGATGATTGGAGATCAGAGGAGAGGAATTGAATGTAAATAAATAAATAATAGGCGCCTGGAGGGGACATTATTATGCTGTATATTATATATATTTATTATAAACAATTCGTCTTATAACTTCTACTATTTTATTCTAGTAAAACTGTCTATATCTATCAAAAATATTAAATAAATAATTTGACAACACAAATCGTGAATCATTCTGAGACAACCATGTCTATTTTAGCATATACTTAATTCCATATTTATAAACATTTCCATTATGCCTATGCTGATGCTTGTTCAATAATTCTGAAGAGTTAAGTCGACGCTTCTTAATGAAGATCTAATAGAGCAATTAAAACGGATTTAATAAAAGCATATAAGCAGAGAGATATTTTTTATTATTAATTAATATAAATTATGTGTATATGTAAATCATAATAATAAATAATTACATATATGGAAACCCAAGGTCATTTTCAATATTAAAAAAAAAAAAAAAAAATAAGAAATAAATTGATTTTGTAGAAAATGTAAATTTGAATTCATGCTTAAAGAGGTTTATTTAAGGAATAAATTTAAGTTGACACAGTCGGTATAGCACGTTATATAAACCTGTTATTCACGTGAGATAATGCCAAAAAATATAAAATTAAATTCAAATTAAATGTTTTGGTGTTAAGACTAAATGAAATATCATATACATACAAATATCACAACATACACTAGAAATTATTTTTGGAGTAATTGAATTGATTTGAGATACCTTTGAAATACCTTTATTTTATATTAAATTTTTTATTTGTTTACTTTTGTACAATAGAAAAATTAATAATTGATGATAGTCGTGAACTGTCAAGCGAAACTGATAGCAGATAAACAGATCTTCAGTCCGGAGTGTACGACCAGAAGATACCCTCAACGCAGAATAGAGAACCATATATTCAGTACCAGGCTGTGCATGAAACTATTAAAAAAGTACAAATAGGCTGGAGAGTTTATATATGATAATCCGTACGGTATAAATACCGAAAGGAGTCAGTCGGCCATGCCTCCTTCTCATCAACAATTAATATACAAATGTCTATAACGCGTTCTTAATCAAGAAGAAAATACCTAATTATCTTAAAAATATCATTAAAAAAACATCAATAGTTATGACATTCATATATGCATTGTTTAGCTAGTTGGCTAGTTGGCAGCTAGTATATATGATATATTTAATTCGATTTCCGCTTCTTCAAAATGCCGAAAACTAGTTTTTATTTTGAAATCAAAAGAGTCAAGTCGAGAGGAGTAGATCTAATGATAAGTTTTTGTCTATTGCACAGACTTATTTACATAAACAAACGGACGAAAATGTGTATAAAAGGCGTTAACAGTCAGAGATCTGATATCAGTTACTCTTCTCGAGTCTCCCAGGAAACAACATGAAGTTCTTCGTAAGTGATGCTAAATAATATACCATTCATTCATATCATATATATAATATTATATTCTCCTTCTACAGATCGCTTTCGCCTGCCTGTTGGCTGTGGCCTGCGCCTATGAAAATGTTGATGTCATTACTGACGCAAGAAATCTCGACATTGACAGCTTCCAAACTGAATATAAGCTCTCGAACACGATTGAATCACAACAAAGCGGTAAACTGAATGGTGAAAACTGGGTGGTTTCTGGACAAAATAGCTATGTCTCTCCTGAGGGTGAAAACGTTTTCATTCAATACGTCGCCGACGAAAATGGCTACAATGTTGTTAAGGCCAACCCCCCACTGCCAACCCCACCTGCAATTCCAGAGGCAATCCAGAGGGCCATTGAATATATCAGGGCCCATCCGATCCCTGAAAATCAGAACTAAGGTTTTCTGTCTTGTTAATAAATGAAAATTGATATTATTGAGAGAAAATATACTGTATCGTTCTCTATTGTTAACGTAAAGAAAGCAGGATCTGAAAACATTTTCCACTAGGAAAAATTCTCCAAAAAATAATCCTTTATTCCAATTACTGATATCTCTACTACTACTACTATTACTTATACTGCTACTAAGTAGAAGTAATAGAGATATAGTACTGCTTCTACTATTATTTCTTCTGGTATTTCCAACTACGAAAATTACTATGACTAATGACCTCTAATATGACAACTACTAATACTATAACTTCTACTACTGCTAATACCTCTATAAATATATTCTACTTTTAATGTGACTTCAACTGCTTCTACTACTACTACTATATATTAATACTATAGTGTAAGTTCTTTTTGACACAAAATTGAATTGTAGCTGTTGTGGTTGCTATTATTATTACAAATATTCATTTACCACTGTATTTCTATTATTCTATATCTACTTCTACAATTGCACATCCTGTTCCCACTATTATACTATATATGTATATATTTTCTTACTCTATTATAATTTCTAGTATTATTACTTAAGCAAATCAGCTTTAAAACCTCCTTTTGTTTTTGCTGTCTCCCCAAGCAATATGATAATGCACATAAATTTTGGGCATGTTTTAATATATTCTGATATATACATATTTCTTTTCCGTCATTGCATCTGATTTTGTTGCCAGCGGCGTAGAGTCTGAAAAAGAGTAAGGAAAACAAGTTTAACAGAAATGAATGCGTTGCCATGCAAATTAGTTTCAAATTACGATTAATGAGATTTTCGTTTTCGCTCGTGAACTTGACCTTTTCTCATTTTTATAGGTCAGTTTAGCTATAGAGAATTTCTTTTTTAAATTATTTTTTTTGTTAAATTATTTTATACGTTTTTTTTTTTAATATTCTTTTTTTTTTTTTTTTAATATAGGCTTTTTGTGAAGCAAGCTTGTTTGCACAGACCTTTTTTGGCACTCTTGGCGAAAAATTGGTAATAAATATTACGTTTTTATTAACAATACTTCATATGCCAACAAACAGAAATATGTTAACTACTTATGTTAACTAACATTATTATCTTAGGAGCATATAATTAAATATGTTAATGGTATATGTTAACGTACATTATTATGTTAACAAACTGCTAACATGGCCAACATTATTATGTTAACTCAAAGTTAACTTACATTACTATATCAATCCACTGTTAACTAACAGTGCACTCAAAGTTACCTAAAACAATTATTTTTAAGAGAAATTGTCGACGTGCTGCTCATTTCTGTGCGCCTGGTGATTTTGTCCCATTCCAGTGCACGCAAGTCGCACTAATTCATAGATAATATAGTTGTGTCATTTCAATGTTAACTAACAGTGCACTCAAGGTCACCTAAAGATTTCTGTTAAAGAGAAATATCGGCCTGCTGCTCATTTCTGTGCGCCTGGTGTTTACGTCCAATTCCAGTGTACGAAAGTTGCACTGTTTCATAGATAACATAGTTGTGTCATTCCAATGTTAACTAACAGTGTACTCAAGGTCATTTAAAAGAATTCTTTTAAAGAGAAATGTCGACCTGCTGCTCATTTCTGAACGCCTAGTGTTTTTGTCCCATTCCAGTGCACGCTAGTGGCACTGTATGTTAGATAACATAGTTGTGTCATTCCAATGTTAACTAACAGTGTACTCAAGGTCACCTAAAGATTTCTGTTAAAGAGAAATATCGGCCTGCTGCTCATTTCTGTGCGCCTGGTGTTTTTGTCCCATTCCAATGCACGAAAGTCGCACTGTTTCATAGATAACATAGTTGTGTCATTCAAATGTTAACTAACAGTGTACTCAAGGTCACCTAAAAGAATTCTGTTAAAGAGAAATGTCGGCCTTTTACTCATTTCTGTGCGCCTGGTGTTTTTGTCCCATTCCAATGCACGAAAGTCGCACTGTTTCATAGATAACATAGTTGTATCATTTCAATGTTAACTAACAGTGCACTCAAGGTCACTTAAAATAATTAGGTTAATGAGAAATGTCGGCCTGCTGCTCATTTCTGTGCGCCTGGTGTTTTTGTTTCATTCCAGTGCACGAAAGTCGCACTGTTTGATTGCTAACATAGTTGTGTCATTTCAATGGTAGGGAACAGTGCACTCAAGGTCACCTAAAGAATTCTGTTAAAGAGAAATATTGGCCTGCTGCTCATTTCTGTGCGCCTGGTGTTTTTGTCCCATTCCAATGCAGGAAAGTCGCACTGTTTCATAGATAACATAGTTGTGTCATTTTAATGTTAACTAACAGTGCACTCAAGGTCACTTAAAATAATTAGGTTAATGAGAAATGTCGGCCTGCTGCTCATTTCTGTGCGCCTGGTGTTTTTGTTTCATTCCAGTGCACGAAAGTCGCACTGTTTGATTGCTAACATAGTTGTGTCATTTCAATGGTAGGGAACAGTGCACTCAAGGTCACCTAAAGAATTCTGTTAAAGAGAAATATTGGCCTGCTGCTCATTTCTGTGCGCCTGGTGTTTTTGTCCCATTCCAATGCAGGAAAGTCGCACTGTTTCATAGATAATATAGTTGTGTCATTTTAATGTTAACTAACAGTGCACTCAAGGTCACTTAAAATAATTATGTTAATGAGAAATGTCGGCCTGCTGCTCATTTCTGTGCGCCTGGTGTTTTTGTTTCATTCCAGTGCACGAAAGTCGCACTGTTTCATAGATAACATAGTTGTGTCATTTTAATGTTAACTAACAGTGCACTCAAGGTCAGCTACAGCAATTCTGTTAAAGAGAAATGTCGGCCTGCTGCTCATTTCTGATCGCCTAGTGCTTTTGTGCAATTCCAGTGTACACAAGTGGCTCTGTGGCATAGTTGTGTCATTTCAATGTTAACAAACAGTGCACTCAAAGTCACCTGAATTATGTTAAAGAGAAATATCGGCCTGCTGCTCATTTCTGTGCGCCTGGTGTTTTCGTCAAATTTTAGTTGAATCATCGCCACCCAGTCATAATAGCAGTCGCAGTTCAAGGTCATTCAACAAAATAAACTGCTTTTCCTTCGATTTACTTTCTCTCCTTCTCTACTCTCTGCTCATTTAAGTCGAATTATAAACAAAATTTTCGACTGGCTCTCGCATGGCTGTAAATATTTAATTCGCAGCCCCAAAACTATGCTATACAATTTTTAAATAGTGTTTTTCTTCTGCTCAGAAAAGTATGCAAGGGTTAATTTTTGTGGGGGCGTTTCTTGCGCAGCCCAAAAGTATGCTACAAAATAAATACATGCCAATAAAGTTTTTATTTTTTTTTTTATTTTTTTTATTTA